AGATGTAGCAACCACAACCACTGGCCAAATGTCTTCACACATCTCTCATTCTAGATGTGCTAGTTACAGGAACGCAGCCAAATATTTATCCAGTGCCTTTAAAACATTATTAAAGTTTAATACCACCATCATCTTGCTAGTCTGCACCATATAATCCATGAATGTCCACTGGGCTTCTCTAATGTCAGACATTTATGAAACCTATAAATCAGTGCAGGTGCAACGTTAAACCGAAGGAACTAAGGTTAAATTGTCGAGTAAGAGAGACGGTCTTTGCTGGTTCAATATAGCTCAGCAGGAGCCGTGAAGAAAATCTTAAGAGGCGTCAAGCTGAGAGAAATCATAATGCATTCAGACTTTTTGAGTCAAGTTGCTGCAGCAAACTTAAAGTGATAGTTCTCACAAAAACAGAAATTCAGCCATTATTTATTGACCCTCATGTTGTCCCAAACCTGTATGACGTTCTATCTTATGTGAAACACAAAATATCTATGTCGGTCCATACTTTGTACCCCATTGAGTAATTGAGTGAACTATCCTTTATAGCCTATGGCAAGCATGAATATGGTTAACACTATTCTTGACAGCATCAAGAATAATCACTACTTTGCAATTGCAATAAAAAGACATCTGAATGTGTGATTAAATGCATTCAGCATTTTAATCATATATATTATCCTATACCTGTGATGGTATATGGGCCAGTTAGGGATATCTGCCAAATAATAATAATAAAAAAAAAATCTGGGGGCATGTGCCAAGATTCAGAGCGAATAACAAGACTAGACGCTATACAATTTTGTCAATCCGATTGTTTTAATTATAGAAGTGTGATCAATTAATTCTACCTGCATTGTGTTTAAAGGGGTCATATGACGTTGCTAAAAAGAACATTATGTTGTGTATTTGGTAGGGCTGTCATGATTATTAAATTTGCCTGACGATTAATTGTCTAAAAATAGTCACGGTTATTGCGATTAATTGTCTGTTTTAGGGCTTTGGCGATTATGACGATTAATTGTCTGTTTTTATGGCTTTCGTTATATAATTGATTAATTTAAGGGTTCAGTAAATAATTATGATGTTATCTTTTAATCTTTTTGAGTTATTATTTTGCAGTGTAAGATTACATAGAGTATTCCAGATTCTAAGAATTGGCCAATACCGATCCAACACCAGCGCTA